GTTCCATTTGATTTTTTGTGTATAAAACCAACAACAAACTACTGGTTTAAGAGAGTATATTCAATTTCTTCAATTCTTTGAATCTTATTCCAAATCTAATCAAATAGGATTCCGAAATTTGAAAGTCTTTGATGAAACAGTGAACAAGCGATTTTCCTTTGGAAGCTTTAACAAAATTATTTTGTGAGTAAGGAAAAAACGTCTCTGAAACATTATCGTTCGACAGTCTGATTTACGTCAAGTTTCCTTGAACTTTTAGCAAACAATTCTTGTCAGGTGTAATTCAGCAGTAAGTTTAAAACTCTGATACTTAATACTCGGTTCAAAATTAAACTCATTGATTGATTAAGTTTCCCTAATTAGGCTTCTATTTACTCCGAGAAGTCTATTTTGTACAATATAAACAACCAAAAGAGTATGAAAAAAGGAAGAATCCACATCTATTTCATAAGTAAGGAAATCACTCGAAATATAAACTTTTCTTTGTAGAGTAACTTGAGAAATTCAAGCGTTTCTCAAATGACAATTTTCAAATAATTATTGAAGTTTTTTCAAAGTTATGTCTAGAAACTGAATTATTATTGGGTGAAAAATTTTTCATCGAAAAAGGAAATTTTCGTGGATGAGTACGTCAATTGTATATACAGAACGACTGCATTTCCATTAAAAAAAATATGCGTGATCTATGATAGCAATTCTATTTGAGTGAGAGGTGACGTCATTTATTTAGAAGATATGACGTCATTACCATAAAAGAAAAGTAGTCGATGACGTTATAGTTAGTATAAATATTCTTCTTTTTTTGGATTAAATTATTAATTTTGTTTGCAAATCAGAAAACAGTCAATTTAATTCGCGCAGAAATTTCTTGATTTATGCTTTAAATTGCGTTATGCGTCCTTGAAACATTCGCCTCACAAAATGTTCTGAAAAAATTTCGTTTCACTATTTGTAAATGATACTTAAATTCATAGCCTAAATTGGGGGAGCGAAAGTCACCACATGATTTTTATACTGCTCAAAAGAGCAGTATACAGATTTTTTTTGTAACAAGGGATTCCCATTAGTGATTCAGAAAGATATGAACTTCGATATAGATATGGCCACGAGCTTAATTTTTTTTGATACGGACGCGAGCTTAATTTAAAAGCTTGGATAAAAGATGCAAAACATCTTTTCACTATTTAAAAAAACCAAGAACAAGAACAACTAGTTGCTTTGCAAGTAGCGCAGAACAACTGATTTCTTCAGTATAGTCGTCTTAAAAGACTACTCTATTCTTTTGAATTAAAAGACTAAAAGACTATTCTTTTGAATTTGTAAAATTTCTTGTTAGTAATGTGATGAGAGAATTTGCAAAAAGCTTAAAATTTAATTTTAATCAACAAATTTTTTCCACTAAACGAGAACAAGAGAACACAATTTTTTTTTTCAAAAAAACAATGGTTTATTCTGAAAATTTTTCATATTGTCTGCAGAAACTTTATTGGTTTCTTCAAAAAAATTATTATCAAGAAATGGAAACAATTTTATTGAAAAAAACTAAACTGCCACGGCAGAAATTGAGTTAACATTGGTCTACTACTATTATCCGGTTATAAATCGTCTCATTTTTTAGTTTGCCTGATAAGTGAATCCACCCACTCCGGATGTGATAATTGCATCTACTCATTCCAATACATCCTTGAGTTGTGTTATTTTGCGCGAAAATAAAACAAAAATATAACTAAAACACAGTTTCTTCTCATCTTCCGTGGTCAGAATTACATAATTTTAAAATAAAATTGAACTACCACTGATAAAATGCTGCATTTTTTCAAGGTTATCTATTATGTATATCACATGTTACGTAATATGACGCGCTGAATTGATTTTGTGACACCCGGGGATTAAATGAAAGTCGTTTTTTTTCTAATCTTGTGAGACCTACAGTGGTGATTGAAATGATCCGGACAAAACAAAAAAGCTTGAAACTTAAAACGCGAAAAGGAACAAGAGCAGGTATTCAAAAAACGAGCTAAATCAAAAAATTTCAACGCATTTTTCTCAAATTGAGGTGATATTAAAATATAAAGCGACCAGAATAAAACTATTTTGAATTTGGCAGAGTTATTTTGATACATTATATTTTGCTATATTAGACAACTGTATGAACCGTTCTAGCCATACAAATTTTAAATTGGAAGGTGACTGACCAGAAATTTTGCTTAGCCAGGTCATTTTTCTTAGGTTCCGACCACTCTGGATGAGTGGGAAGAAACTTTGGATTAGAGTTCGAATTTAGCTTGTTTTTTTTTCTAGCAAGTTTTGATTTTCTCGAGCAAAGCTTTTAAAGAATCAACGGTAGTATCATATTGAATTCATATTCTTCGTAAAACGGATATAAAAAATACCAAATAAGTCGTCTGAAAGTCCGAAAAAAAAATAAGACGAAATTTTTGCTATATTGGACACATAAAAGCGTACCATAAAAGATGGTTTAATCAGAAGAAGGCCGAAATTATCGGGCCAATTGCTAAATTTTTCAGCATAATGAGCATCATATGTAGCTCCTTTAACATTTTGACAAGTTGGAGCAGTCAAAATAAATTTTTAGGGGTACCAAGTTTGGACCACAATTTTGCAAATTTTCATCATATTCAAATCCCAATGCGGCAAAGAGCTACAGTTTTTTTGTAAATAGGCTGGTGAGATATAATGAGAAAGATGAATTGGCTGAATTGTCTGAATTTCAAATCGGCTGATTTGTCTTTGGCCGAATTGTCTAGACGCGAGAAAGATCACCTACTAACCTATATAATAGCCAATGGCACGTAGCAACCGCTTATTTTCTTAATAAAAACTCCAAATGCTTAAAAAAGTTTATGGAAGCGGAATTAGTATTGTATTCAAGCAAACATCATTTCAATTTGGACTGGAGGTTGATGAATTATTTTTTCTAAAAGTTACTAAATGGCAAATTGTCAATGGCTTCTTCATAATATTTTATCATAACGTCTGCAAAAAATGAAAAACACAAAGAAAATTTTTTGTTCCAAGAATTCATCCGCAATATAGTTCATTTTTAGGTCAATGTCTTTGATCTAAAATTACGTAACTTTTGGATCAATTGTATAGAAATGATCCTTCTCTTTGGCCAAACAAAGTTTGAGAGACACCCAACTTGAGACTAAACGAATGTGAGGGGGAGGGTTCTCATGCTTGAACGGCCAAATGCTTGAAAAATTCAACCAATCAAAATCGCTGAGCGTGTCTATCGGCTAAATGCTTTTCTCACAAAATCGAAGTCAATATTAACAGAAAATGTATTAAATCAGTGGAAAATAATCAAAAATATTACAAATTGCGGGTTACAACCGCAATACTAATCAGATAATCATCAAGATTAATGAGGCCAAAATCATAAGAACGTTCCAGTCTTGAAAACTCATCTGCTTATTATCTAATTGGTCAATTTTAACACTATTGACCTGGATTTATTTTCTTACTTTTAGATTTTCGCGATTTACTTTGAGATTTTGAATACTCAATTCTGATTGGCTGAAAGTAAGCTAAAATTAATTTCAAGCATTCGGTCCTTCAAGCATGAGGGACGCCACCGAAAGTAAGTATCAGAGCTATTAGACTCAAGCTGTTTTTTCAACTGTCTTTTGTTTTGGCAACTGTTAACTAAGTTACAGACTTCGCAAGAAAAGTGTTCCAGACTTCAGCACCAGGGCTTCCGCAAAAATCATGGTAGGGGCCCTTATGGCCATAAATAGTGGAGGGAAAGGACAAAAAGTATGGCCATTATATAGGGATGACGTAACCCCATTACGTAAAACAAATAGTGAGCGAGCAAGAGCGTTCACCTGCAAAACAAACAACGCGAGCACTTGTTGTATGTTTCGCATTGCGCCAGCGTAATCTTGCTTTTTTTAAACCGAGTTTGTAAAGCATGTCTCCACGTCTCCACTTTGAGGCTACTCTTTCCTTAAAAGCCAATAAAGAGCTTTGGGATACTAAACTCGTTTCAAAAATTTTGCAAAATTGAATAATTTTTTTTTGATTTTTCATTCAAAGTTATGGAACGAATAAAACCCCATAATGGCCATTATTTAATTTTCCTAAGCGATTATGGAAACAATGGAGGGAAAGAATGATGATTATGGCATAATTTAGGGCGGAAACCCCATTATTTGGCCATTTATTTTACGGAACCCCTGTTCAGCACTTCTGCTCAAATTTCCTGCACAACTGAATACTTTGGAGATATTAAGAAAACTTGGATTCCTATGTGGCGTGGCTTGTAACGATGTAAGATTTCTTCAGAGCCTGGACTCAGGAACTCCATTAAATAAGTTGAGCTATTAAGCTTGTTTATTGTTCCGACCATTTGAAAACTGAGGAACTTTGTATTCGGGTGTGTTTCAGATTTTTTTCGAAACAAAACCAGCTAAATCGGCAGAATAATCATCGAATAATTATTGAGTGATATATAATATTAAAGCCCGAACAGTCGAGATTTGAACGACATTAATAAAATTTCAAAAAGAGTTTCTCAGTATTGAGAAAAACCGGTTTAAATTTTTTTGTTTTTTGTCTTACTTCGAGCGAAAAAAGCAAGCGAGCAGGCTTATAATAGCTCATTTTAATGGCTTAAAAGCGTACAATAGCCCACTTTAAATTGCAAAAGCTTAGCCTTACTCAAGAAACAAAAACTTGGAATCAAAAACTTCATAAAACTGCAAAAAAATTGAAAAGATTGTGAAATTTTTTAAAAGTTTTTCTAGTCTTTTTTACATAAATTTTTGTTAAACTTGCTTATTTTACTATGAATGTCGAAAATCATGAACCTCGTTTTTCGTTCAGCTTTGTTTATCACAACGCGTCGCAAAAAAACTACACTAATTCGAAAAAAAAATTGTTGCATTCTTAAGACTATGGTCAGATCATTCTGTGCTACTTGCACAGTAACCGGCTATCCTTGTTCATTGTTAAAAAATATGAGAAAAACTAACCATCTTGATCATGTACACAATGTGCAGCCGTCAAAACCCATTCGTCGTGAATCACTGTCCCCCCGCAAGTATTCGAAACCTTTTTTTCTGTATCATATCGAGTTACTTGCACGTAAAAAGGTCTGGGAGGACTCCGATTACCTCCAATCACAGTCGAAATCAGAGAAGAATTCAGGCTTTCTTCTAAATATAACCCGGGTCAAAGTGATCACTTCATATTTCGTATCTGTCCACCGGAATTTGCTAAAGCTTCCCTAAGCTCTATAACGACCCTAAACTCCCGTGAACCTGGCTGATTTAAAATGACTTGGTAGGTGACTTTTTTAAAATTGACCTAAACATTGGGCTTTTGTGCTTGACTTTTGTCGAAATATAAAATGTCGAGATCGAAATATAAAATGAGAACCTCGACCCGGGATAGAGTTTAAGCTTAAAATTGCTTTCGAACAACAATTTGTAATTTCATTCAATAAAACTGTCAAAAAAATACAAGATCTAATTTGGATCATACTTGTCAAATTACTATAGTCAAAGGATGCTCAGTTATTAATTCAAGGTGATCGATGAAAGTCAAATCGATATACCCAAAACTAAATGGCTTGGTAACACAAGGTGAATTCTAATTTTGGTAGAGTTACCAATTCTAATGATCAATGGTAATAACAAACAAATTTTGTTAAGAAAATATCGCCTGAATCTAAAGTAATTCTAAAACGAAGGTTTTAATATCAAGGCCAAATTGCATGTATTTTTTTAAATGACTATTTCATCCTTGAAAAAGTTTCATATCCGAAAGTATTTTGAATTCATTGTTTGAAAGTGATTTTTTTTTGCAAACAAATAAGATTTTTTCTAATCTCCATAAAGTTTTATAGACCCTAAAGACCCAATGGGGTCTAGGAACTTAGACGACAGGAAATTAGACGATCAGAACGTAACGGAATTTAGACAATAACTTGCGGGTAAATTGCGTAAAATTTGTAAATTAACTTTTGGCTGAGTAAATACTGGTTGTCCGTGAATTCCGTTTCTTTACGGTCGTCTAATTTCCTAGGCCCCAGACCCATGATTCTAGAACGACATTTTAAAAGACTTATCAAAATTGGTTATTTGAGTATTAACAAAGAGGAACACTCCGAATTATAAAATTGACTACCTGAAATGAGCAAGGCGGCCCACGCTACTTGAAGAATGACTCTATTCATCGACAGACATTTATTTGCTCTGAAAATCTCGGATGTTTTTGGTCGAATCTAAGCATGACTCATTCGAGATAAAACTTCATCCGAACCCATCTGAAAGTTATGTGTTTCCTCAATTTAACAAAAAAAAGCAGCTGATCCCAATAGTAGCCAACAATAGACATGTATTTACAAAAAACCTAGTAAAATTGACATCGCAGAATCTATTTGAGGAACGAAATATTTTAATAGCGCGTAATATATAAACTTTGAGATGGGGCGTTTCTATCGTAACAATCAGATCACCTTGAAGAACGTTTTCATTTTTAAACTGTGGGAAAGCGTTCATCTGCAGAAAGTATGTAAAAAACCTCTATTTTTCGTGGTTTCACAGATACACGCACCGGAGCTCCATGAATAACAATCCATAATGTTGTGGTTTTGTATTTGCTCTCTCTAAAATTCAAAAATAAATCATATGGTTTATGATTTTTTTTTCTGATTTGCTTCGCACGCATTGAATTAAAAAAAAGGCCTAGAAAACTGTTTCCTTTGTATTTTTTTCTAGAATGTTTTGCAATAGACATAAATTCTATTTATTAAAAATAGATAAATTAAAATTTAATTATTGTGCTCCAGGCAATTTTTCTCTTCAAAAAAATAGATGTTGCTGCTATAAGCTCGTTTCAAAAACTTCAATTTTGACTGCTGCTACTTTTTGTTGCGTTATGGGGCATGGGTTTAAAAACTGAAACTATTCTATTGCCGATTAATTAAAACGACAAAAATTTCTGGCATGGAGATTCTCGCACACTAGGAATTTTATAACAGAAGGCTTAGGTCTCGGTACGATGGCGTTTTTTTTATATAAATTTTGATCAGAAACTTTGAAACAGAATGCTTTTTAGAATTTCACTCATATATAGGGCGAAAAATTTGTCTCATGGAAGAATTTTTAATACTCGCTACTTGATTCAATATCCAAAGAAAGTGACATACCATTTTAGCAAGTGGTTTTTTCTCCTGAAACTTCGCTCGATACTAACATTTTTCTTGAGGCGACATTTCGTAGCAGTCGACAACTCTTAACAGCAACAATTCGTAACTGATTCACGCGCAATATTCCTCTCGTGTCGGATGTCAGCGCTGCGAAGCGGAGCGAAGGTCTGCCAATGCCTTGGGACGATTTGGAGCGAAGTGCCTTGTTACAAATCGGAGCGAGCGCTGCCAATGCCTTGTTACTAATTGTCGCTTTTTACGAGTTTTCGCCTGTTACGAATTGTCACCTGCTACGTTTTTCATGTGAGGAGTTTTTGTATAGTAATGGAACTTTCACAATTGCTTTTTAGAAATTTGAACAAAAAAATCACGCGACAGGTTTCAATGAGCGGCGAATAATTGCGTCTCAATAATCAAGTTAAACTGAATTGAGGTGAGCCTATTGATAAAAAGTTGCGTCAGTATTGCGCAAAATTTGTCATTTTTTGTCATTACGGGCTAGAAGGTAGTTTTTAAAAAACTGTAAATGTCAGTTTTCAAAGTTTAACTTTTAATTGCCAAAACTATATCAAATATTTGAAACGTCAGTCAAAACATTTAGGGTTTTGCTTTCGTGGAAACAGTTTTGTTTGCGTGTAAGACTGTAGTATAGAACACGACTGCTCGTATCAGGGTGAAGCACTGAATGTTCCGACTGACTTTTAAGGTCTATCAGGCAGTAAAAACATTTTTGTGAAATAATCCCCCTAACACGCCATTCCATTTAGATTACAACGTGATAAATTTTGCTTCTAGTAACAATCAGTTATGGCAACTAAGCCTCCTTAAACCAATTTGGAACAATTTCTAAGACGGATTATATCTCCGCTTACGCGTTAATAGCGCAAAATTTCGCGCGTTATTTTTTTAAAAATAGCCAAAAGGCAATCTTTAAACCCCCATAACTTTATGGAAAATAATCACAGGTAAAATATCTTTTCGAATTTAAGCTCAGGACAAAAATGCCTTTTGAATGATAAAAAATTCCGTCAAAAATGGCTAGTTAAAAAGTCGAAATTTGTCTGAAAAAAACCCACCCCGAGCGCAAATATTCCGTTACTTTCGTTACGGAAGTCGGAAAAATAAAGCAGTTGCTTCCTTGTTTCAAAAAGTCTTTTTTATAGAATTTCCATCAGAGACGGATCTAGGAATTTTTCCAGGAGGGGGGGGGGGGCGGACTTTCAAAATTTTTTTTTCGAAAATTTTGTCGACCTGTTTCTTTTAGGTCGACCAAATTGATTTTTCAAGCTCTCTCAAAGCATTTAAAAGTCCCTGTTTCTTCTGCGCCGCAAGAGAAAAATTTTGAAAAAAATGGCCAAAAAAGTGTTTTCAAGCACATTTTGGAAAACTTTGAACAAAAAAATTTCTGTACACTGGCGTTTTTGATTTAAAAAACATCTTTTTTATGGCACGCGAAAGCTCTAAGATAGATTGCTTTATTGAGAGTTTCCATGCCCGTAGATTTTCGAACGAAATAAGTTTGTATAACATCAATCAGGGAAGGATCTAGGATTTTCTGGGGTAGCGGGCTTTCAAAGCTCTTCGAAATTTTTTTCTTTGATTTTTTAGGTCGATCAAATTTGATTTTACAAGCTCTTCCGAACCACTGTGAATGCTATAGACGCCTTGAGCTGGAAATTAAATTTTCACCTCTAAATTGTTCTTACAGCTATGTGGTTGGAAAATGCCAAATTGGCCAATTTTGGTTTTAAAAAAAAACGCACTAAGTTCCACTTTCCAAATGTTTCTAAGATTAGTTTCTAAACGATAAATAAAACTCGTTTTAAAATCCATTTAAATTGAACAGTGATAATTTAAATCTTGCTGATACAGACTTTTTTCCTTTGTTTTTTCCTTATTTTCTAGAATTTTTTGCTTGTCGATCTGTAGTTGGCATTGCATGTGGAGGTTGAATTTCAAAAACTTGAAAACTTTTAATCATTTATTGCTGAAAACTAAAGTAAATACGTTATAAGCCCGTCGGAACAGTGGGCATCGCCCTGATAGAAGCAGTCTTCAGTTTTTCGTTGTTTTTCTACTTTTGAAAGTATAGCAGATTTTCTCGATAATTTGTTGAGAGAGATTTAAATTGCAGCCCAATCATTCCACCCACGCCTCTTGGTGTTTTGTTAACTACATTCAAAGCAAGATTTGATCGCTTAAAAATTTATGGCAGTCCGGTCAAAATTCATAGCAAGGGTGATCAACAATATTCAGTTGTCCAACGGATACTTTGTTCGGTTACCAATTTTGTTGGGCCGATCAAAAGTTTTGAATCTATACTAATTCACGGGAAACGTTTGAAGAAAAATGTTTTTTTTTTTTAGTCAAATGAATTCAAAAATGATTTAAAGAAGCTTTTGCGGCCTTATTGGTGTCCAAATGTTCTGCGCAACTTGATTTTAATCCAATAAGAAGAAAATGTTTTATATCGTAGATTTAGATTTCTAGATACGCCTTTTGGGAAAACGAATGAGTGGGAAATTTCAAAAATGTTTATTTTTTGGGTCAAAACTTCAAAAATTTAAAAAATTGAGACAAATTTTTCAATTCTAAATTTGCTGCTCTCGGTTAAAATCAACAGCATTTGTCGGCTGACTAAAATTTAATTTCAGTTATCATATCATCTATGATCATGTGAAAACATCGCACTCGCAATCCAATTGTAGTGAAATGGTACACTTGCGAAATAGCTTCCACCATAATAACAGTTTACTAATTGGAAGCCGTGAATGTCTATTATCCATTTGCCACAATAGCTTGCAACACCGTACAAGCAAATCGGTTTATTTTCCGGAAACTCCCCAAAAACATAGAGGGGTCCACCGCTGTCTCCGTGGTATAAATTATCTGCACGAAATCTGTTCACTCTTCTAGTGCAAACTGTATCAGGCGGACAAGGTGAAATACAATTCAAACATCCGGGAGGTCTTTCGAATAGCAGAATTTCCTTCAAGCCCCCCGACATCTCCTCTCTGCGCCTGTCAGCCATACCCGTGCCACAAGCGCCCATTATGGAACAATGAGAGACATAGTTTCCGCAAAGTGGAAGAATTGAGTCTTCAGAGAAGTTGTGATAAACTTTAATGAGACCGACATCACTCTTTGAACCTGTCAGTTTTCGTCTGTAGAACATTGAAACATTTAATTAACGGTGGTATATAAACCAGCCGAAGTTTAAGCCAGCCGAAGTATGAACCAGCTGAAAATATGTAAATGTTATAAAGTAGTTATGTGACAATTATGTAACACTTATGAAAGTTATACCAATTCATTCATTGTAACTTTTCGTCTGGCTTATACATTCCGCACATTTTGGTTGGCTTATAATTCGGCTGATTTATTCACTCTCCAATAAACAATAGTTTTTGGTTAATTGGTTTCACGTTAAGCCTCATTTAAAAACCGATAGCAAGCGCGCAACAATAACCCACGCTGGTCACATGGAGAAATCAAAACCCCTATAGCTTTGCAAAACCGATCAATGGAGTGAGAACATTTTGTTGTTCTGAGGAAAGTAAAAGATATGTGTGCCCGCATTTTTTCCCCTAATATAGTTTGAATTTTTGACGAGTTTTTTTAATACAAAATGAAAACTGTTGACACCGTGAGCTTGAAAAAAAATGTTTGGTTTTCGGTAACTGCGGATTTTTTAAAAGTTTTAACACAGACGTTTGCTGTGCAAGTAGCACAAGAAACTCCGACCACAAAAACATAAATATTTTTTGCAAATGCGGATGTTTTTTGATCTTTCGGCTAATAACAAATCTTAACGAAAGCTTAAAAAATCGTTATTTTTGATAGCAACAGTAAAATACGATTACTTGCCAACCGTTTTTGTCAAACAATTAATCAAAAAACAAAAACAGAACATTCAAAACATTTTTTGTATTTTTCATAAAACTTGCAGAACTCAGTTTTTTTGAGGATTTTTTGTTGTTGTCAAGAAAGCTCTACAAAAGCATAAAAAAATAAGAAAGCTGAGTAAAAATAAGTAAGTTTTGACGTTTTATTTCCGAATTATAAAGCTGCTCGCTCGCTTTTTTTGCTCCAATTTAGACAAATAATCAAAAACTTTAAGCCGGGTTTTCTCTACACTAAGGTTCTGTTTGGGATAAAATGTTTATAGTTCGAATCTCGACTTCTATGGTTTTATACAGTTTTATCGAAATCTTCAGACAATCATTAACGGCACCTGATTTTGCGTGAAAAACAATTAAAACAAAACCAACAAAAGATCCGAATACAAACACCCGAACACCCCTTTCAGTGGTCGGAACAATAACAAATAGGATGTGCAGCGAACAACTCCGGCACTGAAACCATTCCAAACTGCATCGAAACCTACTAACTGATCCAAAAATTGCGTAAATAGCAACTAAAAAAAATTAAAGTTTTAGTTTTTTTTCTTTTTTTTCTTTTACATTTGTATTTTTCTTGCAAAAAGTATAACAAAACGTTACAAGGTAGTCAGAACTTTCTGGTTTTTGTCCTGATACGAGCACAATTTCATTAGATCTTTTTATTGCAGCTTTGTTAGTTTCACTTTTGAGCTTTTCGGTCGAAATTGTTTGGCAGAGAAAGACGCTTTTCAGGACGTAGAGAAAAAAAACAAACACCAGTACAAATATTTCGTATTGATAATCATAAAAAAACTAAGCGACTAATTTTGTTTCAAACTAGATGAAGACTCTATATCACTTGCATTAAATGAACTATATGTGGACTCAATTTTTCTTTTTTTCTTTTCTGGACGCAATTAACTGTGTGTCCGCAATTTCTACGCAGTTAACTAACTAACTATTATTAACATTTTTGTTCTGTTAACACAAAAAAATTTTTAAAAAAACTTACAAAAAGTTGAAATTTTGCCGTGTGGACAGAGGTAATGTGTGAAAAAAGCCCAGTTTTTCTTTTAAAGTATTTCTAAGAATTAACTTTGAGGAAATGAATGACTTACCGGAAAGTAGTAGGCCAATGTAATTTTTCCACTTTCACTCCAACTTTCTCTGCAGATTCATTTGAAAAGTCCCCCTTCAAAACGACCATGTCATCCGCTAAAAGATCAACAAACCGGCACAATTAAAACGTGACCAATGTTTAACCCAAAAATCATTCACAAGACCAAAAAAATTCGTTTACCGAGACGGGCAGATTTTAAGGAATCGATTAAAAATTTGTTGATACTTTTTTTACAACGAGATCTTTTATCTTTCTTGAGATTTTTACAAGCACTCTTAGAAAAAAACTGTTTGTTCGTTTGCTTCTAACGCCTCGCCTAAAGCTATTGTGGCGTCAAATTTAGCCATTTGGGTGTAACTTCTGAAGAAAATCCAGATAAACCGAAAGCTATGCAAGTTGTACAGAAATTTCCGACAATAGTCAATTAATAAAAAAATCAAAACACAGACCCATTAAAAATTTATCAAAATTTTTTTCGAAAAAATAATTAATTTTTTTCTTTTGGGAAAAATGACTGAATTAGGTTTAAAAATTCAAGAATGAGAGAAGAAAAGCTTAAATAATGATTGAACTATAGTAGAATCAAATTGAGGAAGTCAGCCTCTCATCAGATTTCGTCTAATTCAGTCTGAAAGTCACTTCTTAGACCAATGATCACACCACTTTTTATTGCATAGAGAACTTGATGAATCCAAATAACTACCAATATAGCTTCAATATAATTCTTCACATGGCCGTATGAGCAATTTTTTCTGGAGGTAGTGAAAATTCGCTAAAAAAATTGGCCCTTACGACATATTTGAGAACAGTTATACTCTTGATTTGTCATGAAGAAAATCTCGGAAGAAAATTTTGGAAACATTATTTTCTTAGCCGCTTAAAAAAACGACTCAAATACATTTTTTTGGACTAATCGACAAACAGAATTCAGGATCAGTGACGCACCTAGAATTTTTTCGAGCGGACACAGATTTGTAAAAAAATGTTTTGTTTTCTCGGTTTTAGGTTGAAAAAATTGACCCTCTGAACTCTCCTCCCTTTGTAAAAGACCCTATTTTGCCAAAATTTTAGGAGCTTTAAGCAAATTTTTCACAAAAATGCACCAACTGTGGGTCACCTTTTGAAATGTTTTAAGCAAAAAAACCACGTTTTTGGTGCGTGATGCACCTCATTTGAAGTCGACCGAGAAAAAAAAACAATTGAATGTTCTGTCTCTTTTTTTTTTAACTTACGATGCCTGTCATAAATGCAATGAGCAGCCGTTAGGACCCAGTGCTCATGAATAATGGTTCCCCCACAGTACGACCAGCCATTTTCCACCCTGTGGAATCTGGACACTTGCACAAAAAATGGGCGAAATTGGCTCCGCTGGCCGCCGATTACAGCAGATATCAAAGAGGTATTCAGATTTGAATGTGTTTTTGATTTGAAAAGTTGCTCTGACATACATGTTGTAAAGACAAGGCTGGCTAATGTCAAAAATTGTAAACAATCTGAGTTGTTCATGATACCAAGATTATATTAAACAAGCAAACATAGATTTGCTTGGGATATCCAAATAAATACAGCAATAAGATGAGCTCATTAGATAGACAACCAATGCTATGACGTCATTTAAGCTAGTTTCGACTACTTTTAAAATTCTGATCACAAAAAATCGTTTCCAGTATAGGTTCTTAGTATAGATTCACATTGGTAAAACTGGTTTAGTTGCTATATATTTAGAAAGTTCCGCAGCTGACAATAGATTCCACAAAGATTACTTAGGTACCTATTAACAATTTCAATGTGAGTTTGAAGTCCAGTTGATTATCGAGATACAAACCCATATATTTGAAAACAAATTTTTGCTCTATGTCTTTATTGCTCTTTTATTAGACTAGTTGTTCATTTCATTAACCGAACTCTTTAAATTCAAAGTCAATTTGCTTTTGTCCGACTATTTTTTTGCTTTTTTCAACCCATTTGCTTAGATTTCAATCAGAATTGAGTTTTCAGAAAGAGTTTTAATGGCCGTTTCTTTGCGACCAGTTTCTTTGCGACTAATTACGTTGATGTTCACATCTTTTTCACGGTCTGAATTTTATGGAACTTGAAAATTCTATGCTAATCCTCTTAAATTTAATCCAAGCATTTGCTTAAAAGAAGCTTGTGATTATCGGTATCGATTGTTTTCAGATATCATAAAAGCAAACGGAGTTTCAGAAGCTTGATTATCCCAATCAAATCTGATTTCGTCCGCTAGTGAAGCAATAGCATCAACTGTTTTTCGTTTTCGTCTGGAAACGAACTGATATTAAAAATACTATACTTTGTCGAATAACAAAAAATAACACTTGGTTGTAAAACTATGGTTCTAGTAAAATACCTAAGACGGGCATGAATGAATTGGTATATTATTGGGATTTCAGGTCATATCCTTCATTTAAAATTTTTTTTTGCAATTTTCATTAAGTTCGGGAAAATCTAAATAATTTTTTGAATTATTTTTAACCAGACTTTCAGAACAGGCTCAAATATTTACCACTTTGGAGGAATGTAAACATGGTAAACAATTTTCAAAAATGTGTTTCAAATTCAACTCTAGTAAACTATCATTTTTAACATCTTTCTTGCAGGTCTGTTTTTTGGAAATATCTTGCTAATTTCTCGCATGTGTTCGCAAAACAATTGTTGGTGCTGAAACTCTCTGTGTTAAAACAATTGTTCTTAGCAGTTCCTTTTTACAATTCTGAAGTATCTTTTTCCACAAAACTTCAAGCTGGTTGTCAACCCAAAAGATTTTGTCTTCATTTACCCCATTTTTTTTTCTCAAGGAATAGTTAATTTGAAATATCAATAAGCTTTGCAAAAATCATTTAAATCAAACTTTTTTTTAAACCTAGTTTTTAACTGTTCCACAAAATATTTTTTGTTGAGTGGTTACCACGTTCTACAGAGGTAATTTTTTTCAGTATGAATTTTGTCACCCGCCTTTTTAAAACATTAAAAAGTCACAAATGACCTGAAATCGATATTTTTTTTGTGAGCCAAAAAACCAATCTAGGCATGGATTTGGTTTCATTGAAACGATGGTTCTATGTAATCATTCAGAAAAAGGTAAGTTCATTCACCATCTTTATGCAACTAAAATGAGTCCATATAATTCAGCTACGCATATAATTTATTTTGAAGTATCTCCATGCTACTTGATAGGCTTATGGGTTTACACAATCTTCTCAAAAGGTTTTGTAATTTGGTAAGTTTTTTTCCCTCAATTCGAGGGAGTTTTTTTTAGTATGTTTACAATTCAATTCCAGAGTTATCAGTTGAAGCTATTTGCCGTTGATTTTTGTGGTTTCATGGGATATCGGTTATCCTCAGCCCCGAAGATTTCTACATCTTCGCCCCTTTTTTTCCTTTCACTAGTCTCAGTAGTTTTCTATCGTTTTCATTGGAATATTAGTTTTGAGTCTTACAGCTAATTCCAATATCCCTGATTCTGTAAAAGGGACGTTGCCAAAGTTAGTGCGTCCAAAACTCAAAGTTCATTTTGCTAAAGATAACTCCTGAAAAACATAAATTTAAGCCTGCAGCTTATCAATGTTTTTTTTTTATTTGATAACAAAAGCATTTGCTTACACCCAGTAGTGCCTATTTGATTTGATAACAAAATTCTGTTTCTACCCTCAACCCAATTCGTATTCTACCTTGTGGTTTGTTTTTTTGAAAAACAACATGTTTTATCGGAATCTTTTAAAAATCCTTTACGCTCCAGTTTTCTGACTCGAGTAAAATTTTAAACTAAGAATTTACATTGTGACTAAGCATTACTTTCTCAGAAATAAATCTTAAGCAAAAATAGGTTTTTCGATCTTGTTTTTTTCTTCGAGGGCATTTTTTTTATTGCGCAAGCAACTGTTACGTTATAAAGCTGGAATCTTAAAACTACTTCCGCCGCCATAAAGTAGTTTCAAACTTACAATTCACTTCCATGAATATAATTTGATAATTTTTGCCCTTATTTTTTTTGTGACTAAGCATCCTTTTCTCAGAAATAAATCTTAAGCAAAAATAGGTTTTTTGATCTTGTTTTTTTCTTCGAGGGCATTTTTTTTTATTGCGCAAGCAACTGTTACGTTATAAAGCTGGAATCTTAAAACTACTTCCGCCGCCATAAAGTAGTTTCAAACTTACAATTCACTTCCATAAATGTAATTTGATAATTTTTGCCCTTATTTTTTTGCCGCATCTGATATCGAGTTTTCTGACGCACAAAGACACCTTTATCTCCGCCTCTTTTTTATCATAACTCTTCTCAAATTTTTTTTTAATTGGAATTTTACTTTTGGATCCTTCGATTTCCACCTTGTTTCTATTACAGATACTTTCAAAAAGATAAATCCTGCAAAAATCTGTTTGAACGTGCAGCTTGTTTTATCTTACTGAAGTGAAATAGTATTGATAACAATTTCTCTCGTACACTGTCAGTGTTAGCCATATGACTTGATATAATACTTTTCTAGAGCTTTCTCTTAGAAATTATTAGGTTTTTTTAAAGTTTCCTATGAAATATTTGCGCTCGATTTTCTCCTTAGCAGAAGTAAAAATTAAGAAATTTCTCGAGGACTCTGATTTTCTTTTTTAAAAATTATATAATCATTATAAGAACAGGTTTTTTGTTTTCCAATTTTTATCTCTTCGGGGCCTTTTTTTTCCCTGCCTAACTACTTCGATTTTCACAAACCCTGTTATGACCCCAGAGCGGCGTGTCCCAGAAAACCGGAACGCGTTGCGTAGTAAGAAGAACGCAAAGAAAACCCCTGTTCTCTTATTTAGGTTATTCACTGACAAAAAAAAGGCGCTTCAAATACTAAAAACCGAGGGAAGTTATCTAGTTTGAAGTTTCATTTTTGGTCTGGTTTATTTAAAAGCGTCAACCAATCTAATTTTTTTGGGAAAGGATCTAAGCGTGGACAGTCCATACGTTAGATCCACTTCTTAGGGTGGTTATTTGAACATTTGCCGTCACTGAGTCAACCAGATGCACAACCTTAACATCCTGTTATACGCTACTTGATCAAGAAACTTAATCTTACATTTATATAAATAAACGTAACTTTTCTGAAAACTAAGAAAAATTAAGAAAGTGTGAACGGCCTAAACACTCAATTTTTAAATTTTGTTCTCATTTAGTCGTTTCAACCATTAATCTAGTGTTATTTATTTTATGCAAAAAACCTTCCACTGAAAAGATAACATGTAGAAACGCTTTAAATTTCCGTGGATGCAGTCGATCGTATACCGCAAGCGAGAGTTCCTTCGGTCCTCTCTCTACTAAGAAGTAATTTGTTCTAAGTAGAGCAAAAACCATCAGTTCAATGTCTACATTATGCTTCTGTGTCGCTATTGTCACAAAAGAAAGCACATGAGCTTCCACAAAACTCCATTTTCTTCTACCCTCTCCTAAAATTGGCTGCTAGTGCTGTTTGAAAGTCATATCATTGGTTATTGCTATTGCACGTGTCAGTATAAGAACGCTGTCAATGATTAATATAATGCTCAAGTTTTTCTTCGGTGAGTTAAACTATGATTTTATTACCCTTGCTAGGTTCGGTTTCTTAGGGTTTTGTTCCTTTTTGCCTCCAAACCAACAGTTTCTCTTTCATTTTTCATTTTTACCATTTACAGTTTTTCAGTATGAGTAGGTCTTTTTCCAATTCCCCGGACAAAAAAATCCATCGACGTCCCCGTCCATCGCCCATCCGACTTTCAGCTGAGGTTAGAGGCTGGGACGAACATTGGTTCTTCCTTGACAGCCCATGAAGAATCATTTTTGTCAGTTTTGATCTTTATCATGCTCTCGAAAATTGATATCTCGATTGTCAAAATGATATCTTTGCGCTTCGATGTCATCTCAATTAGCCATTCTAGACCAGCTGAGTTCCTGTTTGTTTTGTTGTTTCTTGTATTTCATCCTCGAACTCAGGTGCTGGTTTTGCTCAGCCTTCGTTACCTTCGTTGTCCTGATCGTCCACAATGCCAATTTCTCGATTTGCTTTGTTTCTGGACCCTCTACTTCTTCTGCGATCTTTTTCAGGTATATCCTGTCCACCACAAAGTCTATCTTATAAAAAATTAAAATTTTATCAGGTTTTTGTTCTGCTACTCTACCGCGTTTGCATTCCATATGGTAGGTCCGGCTCGGTGTTTTCAGAAAAATTGTTCTATTCCAGTTCTTTAATAAGTTTCCTCAGCATACGCAACATTTCACCATCCCCTTAAGTTACCTCATTAATGTCTAGGTCCAGTGCTAACTCAGCTATCTCTTCCAAGGTCTCATATCCGTCTTTTTTTACTCTAAAGCTTTTCATTTTTAGGTCTCAGACAGGACCCATCAACAAATAACCATCCAATTTTTTTCATGTCTTTGGGATCACACTAATCTTTGATGATGAGTTATGAGCTTTGATGTTATCAAAGTGGACCGCTTTGACTGTGTTCAGCTTGTAGAAACTTTCCTGTTGTTGTACCTCCAATATTTTTTATTGACCTCTTCCTTTCTTAGGAGTTTCTTTGTGCCTTTAGGTGTGATCAGGTTCTGAAATACTCAAACGTAATCTGCTACAAAAATTGTTTAGATCCAGTCGCCTACTCATCGAACTTTTTCTTCACTATTGCCTGGGCTTGCTGTGTGATTCGAATGCATAATTCTGAGTTGATTGTTGGGCTCATCAGGTTGGTGCACATCATTTACCATTTTGACCAGCTAAATCTTCGCTACATGTGGAGACCAGAGCCAGAGACTTGGATAGAGAATGGGTAGGAGGAGATAGAATCACGACGGTGATCGCTACCTACACTCGAGTTAAAAAAAACTTGGACCACACCGTTGATTCTATGGATTGCTATCAGTGTCGAAACGCTCTATGAGACCACTAACTCAGAAGGAAGCAATGAAGATTGACGTTGAACCATTCTAACAGGAGACGTCTTCACCTGATGCATCCGATTATTTTCTTCGCCTAGACTCTCCGAAAAAAAACGCTGTTTGCGGAATCTTGTCTGTGTGCATTCTCATCTTTCTCATCTTCCGACTCACCGGACAAAATTGCGTCTTTAGTGTTGTACTTAGATGCAGCCTCTTGAGGCAGTTGATCGCACGTTGCAAAAGTCACTGTTTTCTTTTCAGCCTCAATCTTTTCTCTTTTTTGTTTTGCATGACGTTTGAACCAACACAATCGGGGGCATAGAGAAGACTCTTTGCTGAACTATCGTCCTAGCGTCCTGTTCGTTCCAACGGTGTTGACGTTTTGATCGTTTGATCCGTATCTTCTCGCTGAATCCCTGTGAGATTATCACTGCTGTCCATTCTGGATTGTCCTTACCAAAGCTGTAACTCTTACCAAAACTTGCCGACATCCGCATCACCTCTGGTGAGACATCCATAGTTTAATTCAGTAATGACAGGCTGTTATTGTTCATGCGAGAAGCTCCTTTTTGACCAAGTTTGAACGCAGTAGCAAAACCAGGGGAATCCTCTCGATCTTCAACAAGATCTTAATTCCAGCTGCCATTTGCACTGGCAGCTTGGGATGACCCGACGTGGATTGAACCGACTTGCCTAACAACCTTGTTAAAGAAAGAGACTCGAAAATGACTTTGTCTGAAATGAGATTCACTCTTCTATCTCTAGCCTGGTTAACCTGCTTTTCTTCAATCGTGAGTCAAATTCTGTCTTCTTGCTGAGGATGTCAGCGTACTAGTGTTTGTCCTGCATCGTGGTTTCGGTTGTCATAATTCGAACTGTAACTGTAAAGACCAATGTAACTGGGTCCATGGACGACGTCTTCAACCAGGAAACGATTGGTTGTCCAGTCGTAACTCAGAGGCAGTGCACGCTACTTCTCGATTAACGTGATAAAAGCTAAACTGGCTTTTGGTGCACCATATTTCATCTCTATTTTCCTCAGAAACTTGCTAGGGAGCGGAGAACAGTTCCTCCGTTCCATTGTTTTTTCTGATGCAAAATTTCAGAGATGGCAACGACTTGGAGTGTCGAGAATGAGCATCAAAATCGCGTAAGGCAACTCCCCCTTTATGTGTTCAAAAAAAGCTCGAGTCTTCTCGTTCAGTTCAAACTTCATCCATATGTTTAGCATCAGTTATTGTATCAGAAAGATCTTGTTTGCATATACTTTCACATACTATCTATGGCTTTGACGGATCCCAAGATGGTCTTCAATAGCGTCGCTGTTAAGGGAGGCTCCCATGTCAGCACATCTGCCACGGCGTTTAAATCCGGTCTTACAAATTGCTTTTCCATCAGCAGACTTTTTTGAGTCCCTGAGATTCACTCATTTTGAGGGCTTGCATTTCAAGCCTGCTCTTTTCTTTGTTCCTTTTTTGTGCAACAAATAAAGCCTATTTTTTTTCCTTTCTTGTCATTCAGTTGCTGCATTGGATAGATCTTGTCTTTATTTCTTTTTAGATACTCTCTAAGAAAATTAGCGAATCACAAGAAGGTAAATGGTTGCGCGACTGTTCTGTGGGATTTCCAAGCCAGCACAACTTCAACTGCCTCTGGATCTGGTTTTAAGTCTTTCATTGTTGACATCTTGTCCACCATCCAGTCTTTTTGTGTTTTATTAAGTCCCTGAGAATCGCCAAATTCGAGGGCTTGTACTTCAAATCTGCCCTTTTAATGCAGTCAGTCAATGTGATCTCCCAATGTGAGCGTCGCTGTCGCCACCTTATCCACGTAACTTATTATCAGATTCAATAGATTTTGGGCTGTATTTGGTTTTCTCTTATTTTTTTTGCAACTAAAATCGGTTGAATTTCAGCTTTTTGGTTGCCGGCTTTAATTCAGTCGGCTTCATCAAACAAATATCTTCTTACTAGATTTTTCCGATAAATTTTATGAAATCGATGAAACTCTGGCGCCAAATTTTCGGATGCGCAAACTCAACACCAAAACGACGCTCAGTTTTGCCTCTATGTAAATCCTGCGTCGAGCTCAAAGTGAGTTCTTTAAATCCGGTACCAATTCCTTGAATTTTGTTGCTGGAATTTCTAAATCTGTCTATGTTCATGTTAGCATAACTTTTGTTGAATATCATAGAATTTTTTGCTAAAAACTACAAAAATAATCACCGCGACACAATCGAATTGAAAACAAAAAAAATCTTTATAAAATTATATATTTCTTTGCGAAAGAAAATCTATCAGTGGAAATCTATGGTAAAGTCTGTTGGAAGCAATTCAAATGCATATAGGGTATCAACAATTTTGAACTTCATCCTATAATAGTTCGTTTTGTGCAAAATTTACTCATTTTGATACTAAATTCAAACGTGACAAGCAAAAAGATATCTAATTTTAAAATGGCAATCGATTTTTTCTAAGTATTGAAAGGATTTGCTTCTCATTTTTGTCTTGAATGGACTTTAATTAAGACCAAGGAAGTAGGGAAGTTGCGGTAGACAGTTTTTTCATCATTTATATATTTTTTCGACTTCTAATTTCTGTGCTTCGTCTCAGTGTCAACAAATTTGATTTCGGCTCAGCAATGTGGGTAGTTGTGATTTTGTTTTCATATTGAAAAATTTATTGAACCCGTGGCTTTCATTTCATTTTTTTTCCGCTTACTGCAAAGAGCGGTCAAAAACTAGACATCGTTTTAAAATTAAGACATCGTTTTAAATTATAAACGAGTTAAAATTTCAAGTTTATGAATAGTTTAAGACTTAAATCGACAATTATGAAAGAAGGTGAACGAATTGCTTGGGTTGAAATTTGCCGAGATCCAAGATTTCTTCGATTTGTTGATTGAACTGGAGACAGAAAGAATTGGAGATTTAAATACAGAGAAAAATGTTCTCTGACTAGATCTATTTCCCGATCTGGATTCGGATATGGTAATATGAGCATAAGATGGACCTCACACAAGAAATATATATTTACAACTCCGTCCTTTATCACGCGAGTTACACTAGTGAACAAAACTAGGCACATATTAAGTTCAGTTTTAAAATGCTTAAATTTAAGGACCAGTTTTGAGAATTTTTACTTAAAACTTAAAACGACAGCAATTCATCAGAACTATCTTCTCTAAATTCTCAATTTTTAATTTGAAGCTTTTGCTAGTTTTTACTGGGTCTGAACGTGCTAGCTTTCATGATCTGCACTGTTTTTTCGAAACGCGTGATAATGTAAGAAACAGCTGAGTTTAATAAAGTTGTCACACTGTTTATTTCAATTTTCTTGCTGAGAATGTTTCACGTAGCATGAGCAAATTTTTTGCTCTGCTGATTCGAAAAAGAATTCATTAAGATGCAAAATCTAGCGCCGACGGTGAAAACTGGCTTTTTCAGAACCGGAAAAAACTGTTAAACGCTTTAATTTAAAAATTGATACTTTCAGAGAGAGTATTTCAGATTATTGTTCCGACTTTCGATACGAAAGTAACGGAATATTTGTGCTCGGGGTGGGTTTTTTTTTCTTCAGACAAATTTCGACTTTTTAACTAGCCATTTTTGATGGAATTTTTTGTTATCATTCGAAAGGTATTGTTGTCCTGAGCTCAAATTTGAAAAGATATTTCACCTGTGATCATTTTTCGTAAAGTTACGGGGGTTTAAAGATTGCCATTTTGGCCAATTTGGGACAATTAACGCGCGATATATTTTGCGTTATTAACGCGTAAGCGGAGAGTTAATCCATCTTAGAAATCGTTCCAAATTGGTTAAAAGAAGCCTATTTGCCATAATTGGTTTGTTACAAGGAGCGAAATTTATCCTTTTGTACTTTATATGGCGTGTGGGGGATGATTTGTATAAAAAATTTCAAATTTTAGGCATTTTTTTTTCATTTTGTTTTATTTCATTGAAATTTTTAATGTTATTGCTGCTCCATAAACCTTAAAAGGCAGTCGGAACATTCAGGGCTTTGCCCTGATACGAGCAGTCTTGTTTGCTTTCGGTCCATGTACAAATTTTGTCAAAACTCAAAGTAAAAATGGTCCCTAAATTTCGATTTTTTTTAGAGATTAAAAACCTCAATTTTTGTTTGACTTTTCCACAAGTGTATATTGAATATTACAATATAAATAATAAATATTGTTGCTTTTTCGAGCTTTAACGAGATAAGGTGATTCCATGATAAGGTGGGGGTGATATAAATTCCAACGTCTTTAAGATGGTCATCTGAATATAAGGTAGACCCTGAAGAAAGATGCTATAAC